TGAGTGGCGAGTTCAGACGTGTTGTGCTGAGCTCGTTGCCCTCATCCGTAACCTTTCCACCTCAATCCCTTGTTTCTCATAGAGAAGCAACAATAAAAGAAGCTTCAAAGGAGTTTGGTTTCTGTGTGTATCACAGTTCACAGTATTAGACTTGTTTCTTTCAATGATTTTTTTAAAAAATAATGCAACCTACTCAGCTGCTATTCTTAAATTGATTTTTTTAACAACCTGTTGTGTTCTTTTTCTGCTTTCTCCTCTGTGCCACGTGCAGAGAGGGGGGTTTGCCAGTGCTTAAATGACTATAATCCTGTAAAACACTGCACTGTGAAGCTGCTGTTCTTTGTTTTCCTGTCCCTGGCTTTGTCTCAGTGGGCTGAGAACTGCCCAGCCCGGGACATGCAGGGGATGGAGCAGGCTGGTTCCACCATCCTCTGCTTGCGGGAGGAGAACGTGTCCTTAGCAGAACCAGATACTTGGGGGGTAATAACCCACCCTCCAGGGCAGAGCTAGGAGTGCCTTAGATGAAAACCACACTCTGCACAGGTAATTGGAGGGTAATAAAATGATCCATGAATCTCATCCATTAATGAAGTACCTTCTTCCTGTTTTTTTCTTGCTTTCTTCCATTCCCTTTCCTGGCCCAGCAGACGGCTGGCGCCCGCGGGCGCGCTGCAGCCCCGAGCCAGCCCTGCCACGAGGGGTCCCCGGGCTGGGAGTGCTCCCCTGCAGCCTGCTCCAGCCTCCTGGTACTCTGGCCTCTGTCCCTGCCTCCCAGGCACAGTGCCCTCTCTCTTTCTCTTTGCTGCCTCTTGCCCTCATGCTCCCATCTGCACAGGGGTCGTTGAAAGCCATGCATGAAAATTCCGGGGTGGTAACGAAACTGCAGGGAGCTGGTAGGGAGAGATGGGAACCTGCAGGATTACCCCATCAGTCAAAGCTCCTGGTTCCAGAATCCTGGAACTGTCTGTAGTGTAAAATATTCTCCTGTCTCTGCTCCATCTATTGTCCATTGAGAGAAATTATGACAACCAGCAGCACAACGTGTGGTTGCTGCTTCTCTGCACTCCTGCAAAAGTAGAAGTGTGTCAGTTCCCAACATGTGACATTCAGACCTGACAGCTTAGCTCTGACCTGCTTGTACTGCTGGTGTGTCAGATGAGGTCGTTTGTGCCTTGAATCAATGAAAAAAGATGTGTGTTTATGTAGTATCTTCCAACCTGGCTAGAATATTGTTCATTAATTCCCAAAATAAAATGAATGTCAAGTGAGATGCTCTTTAAGACAGAGCTGGCAGGTGTTGCTGCCAGTGACAGATGTCAGGACTGGAGGAGGAGGTTACCACAAGTTACTGCTCACAATAGATTCTTTTTTAGGGCTGTCATTATTTGAGTATCTCCACCATGTCTTACTGGAATGTGTCTAAATTCACCCAATGTGTCAGCTTGCTTCATGAGCTTACAGCCAGAGTTCAGGCTATAAAATGAAGCCTTTCCTCCAGGACATGCTGTGAACTTTACAGCTAACCTAGAGAACATCCTATGAAGTAGGTGTCATTGGTTTTAGTCTGTCCTCGGAGTTATTCTCAGGGCTTTCTCTGCCTTGTTAGCAAAGGGTTTAATCAGCAAACTGGCTGTTTAATGAGGTGTGGTGCTGCTCAGGGTGCCTTGCAGGGGGCAAATTACCTGTTAACAGAAGAGCAGAATGGGAATTGCAGTGAACTTGGGAGACTTCTCTCCACTTTTTGTTGATTTGGAAGAACTCCTGTGCTTGGAGACATATGGAAATAGTCCTGTTCAAAGCAATTTTCCTGCATTGCCCAGATGACCTCTGTGTGTTGCTTCTTCCTCAGTGCATTTGCAAGTGACCTGTTTTTGCACTTTTGATACTGCAAGATGACCCCACAACTAATGACAAGAGGAGGAGGGAGGGGGTTGGTTTGGGGTTGGGTGCTTTTCACTTGAAAAGGCCAATGATCCACCATAATTTACAGATGCTGAATGTTTTTCTTCAATGCTGTTGCTTTGTGATTTTTGAGATTCTCTTAAGATTGAATCATACTGACAAACTCACACTAAAATTGAGTCTTTGAAGCATTAAAACAAGTCTTTAAAATTAGACAGGCCACACTAACACAGAGCTTCACAGCAGCTTATGATAAATAGTCTTAAGATCTATTTTGGACAGAGCAGTTTCCATTTGGTCTATAAATCAGAAGTGAAGTCTGTGAGGGTGAATGGAATCTGCTTTTGTTTTGTTAAGAGAATTAGTGAATATTTAGCCTAAAACACACTGGAAGTAATTTGGAGTTTGGTGATGCACGTGCCTGTAAGCTGCTGTGTGAGAGTTGTGTGTTGGCTGTTTGCTGTGTATAAATTAATCCAAGAAGGCATCTTGGTGTTCTTAAGTTACCCTGATGTGATGTTTTACCTTTCAACTTCACTGTTTTAAAAAAGCCTGGTATGAGTTCCATATGGGAACTTGCTGCACCCTGTTATTGGGGGTCTAACCTTCACTTGTGACATGAGAAGGGGCAACTAGTGCATGGTGCTGTATTCCTGGCTTCAACTCATCACTAACTGATACAGGAGTGCAAATAAATCCCCAGGGAATTGAGGTGTGTTTTCAGCACACATCCTACAGCTGCCCCAGGCTCTGCCCAGGGAGACCTGTGTTTGGAGCCCAGAGGGGAAGATTCCTGAGGTCAGGCTTCAGAATGCCAAGTGCTTGCAACACAATTCTGTTGAGTGTACCATGTTTTGGTACAAAGTGGTCAGCTGGGATTTTTTAAAGGCTTCCACTTTGTAACTCACACATGAAAAGCAGTGCAGGAAAATCACATTGCTTCAGGTATAGACAGGCCTGTAAATACCAGCACTTGGCTGTCAGACTGATTTTGGGAGTTTGAATGGCCAAAATTAGCTGAAACATCAAATCACCCAAAACAGCTTTGTTTTTTTCAACTTTTCTATGGAGACTATGGGATATTTTTAGCTGTTTAGATCCTTAGCTGTTTAAAAACTTTTCTTTTTAGCAGTCTGGATTAGTGTCTCTTGTCTTATGGGGAAAGAGCTCTGAAGACAAATGGATAGAGGGTTCCCTGTAGTGGCAGAAGTTAAACTGACTCAGATCCCACATACAAAGTGTTCTTTTAAAATCCACTTTTGATCATCAGTATTGCACTGGGGAGGGAAAGGCTGCTGGTCACTGGGTTTTGTTTAGATAGGCTCAAGCTGCAGGATCTTAGTCTGTGCCTGGCTCCCAGTTTGCTTGGGCATGCTCTCCTGCACCTAACAATAATATGTTGTTGTGCATAGACCAAACAGACTGAGCTAAGCAGTTTTCTGTACAATTTGGAGACAAATTGCAGTGTTTAAAGAGTTGGGTGGGGTGAGTTTGGGAAATGCAGGCGCGTGAATGAATGTTAATATTCATAGACTCATTTCCATAATTGCATACAAATATAGTCTTTTCCTGACAGTGTTTGGTATAATAGGTGTGGGCAGCTATTCCTTCAAACAAACTTTGATCAGAGGGATGAAATTTTGAACTATTTGTTGAGCTCTTGCTTTTTCTGAAGTCATGTATTTATGGACAAACTTGTGCTGAGGAGACACTAAGTGTTACCACATTGTGTGTTGCACCAGCCACTCCAGTTGCCTTCAGTGCAGCCTGCAAAGATATTTTTAGGGTGTTTATGGGGGTTTTGTTACTGACTGGTTCTTAATAACAGCCACTGACTAGTGGAATGGAAGAGAGGAGGAGTCTTTACCTCACAAATAATACACTCCATCTTTTTGCAGCTATATACCGTGCTCCGAGAGAATACATGTGGCAGTAACAGAAATGGCAGCCTTGTTCCCAAAAGTGAGTACTTTCCAGCATTAAAATGTCCTTGGCCTCTTTCCTCATTAGCAGATTTTCCTCCAGTTAATGAAAACCAAGAGCTGGTGGTAGGGAGAAAAGACCAGGTGGTTTTGTGACATCGTACATCTTTGTGTTTCTTAGCATCCCAGTTGGGAAGGGCTTTAATTTTACTCTTGAAATGAAAACTCTAAGAATTAGATGCAATTCCTCCAAAACTGGAGGCTACTTGCATCTGTCTTGAGGAGTTATGTGGTTATATGGGAGAGTAGCAAGACTCCCAAGATTCTGTTTGTGAGCTGCTGCCTGGATTTCTTACTTGCAGATATGTTTATGTCTGTTACCTACCAGCCAAAACCATGTGTTTCTTCCCAGCAAATTTAGAGAGTAACATCTCCATGACATAAGTTTTTGGACAGTGTTAAGGACCTCTGTAAAACTGCCAGGAAACTCTTACTGCTGTTGTGCCTACCTGAACAGATCGGCTTGTACATGCTGTACCCTGGTGTCAGCAAGGACACGGGCTGGATAGCAGGAAATGGGCACTAGAAAGTCTGGATGAGTAACATCCTAAATGAGAGCATGAAGCAGTGCTCCTGAAACCTCCCTGGGCTGAAGGAGGAGAAATTCAAGGAACCTTATTTCATCCTCCCAAGCCCCACGTCTGCAGCAGTGATGGTTTGGGACGACTCCTGCAGCACAGAGCACTCTGTGCAGAACGCAGGGCCCCAGCAGCAGAATTTCCACTCATTAACCACTACCAGCTAATTAAAAGCGATCCTGAAACGGTTTTGCTGTCCTGCTTAGCTCAACTTCCACTTTCCCTTCCCAGAAACCCAAATCTGAGCTGGTAAGGACTTCTTTGCGCCTGCTGACGTCCAGTGCCTACAGACTCCAATCCGAGTGCAGAAAGACCCTCCCCGTGGAGACCTGCCCCACGACAGACATCCAGCTGGTGACACAGCAGGTCATCCAGTGTGCCTACGACATCGCCAAGGCTGCCAAGCAGCTCGTCACCATCACCACCAAAGAGAACAACAACTGAGTCACACCCACCTCTGGGGGTGTTTTTTTTTTAAAGGTTGGATTGCAAAGAGAGGCGTGGAGCTAGTCGCATTTTTATGAGGAAAATTTAAAAGAGGGCAAGAAACTATTTTTTTTTTTAAAACTCAGTATTATTTTTGCATGTTTTCTAACGATTTTATGATTAATTTAACCCACTGCCTTATTTTGTGCCTGTGTTGCCAGTGTAGTTACAGATAATAGCGTGTCCCAAGTAGCTGTGGAGCCACCACCACGTGCCGGCGTCGGACCCAGCTCTTGCTGGATGTCTCCTCAAGGGCCACGTTCTGCTTTCAGGAGCATCCTCCTGATGGCAGCTCCACGGGTCAGAGGGCAGGGTCCTGCCTCTGCTCCAGCACCCCAGCACTGCTGGCTGAAGCACCCACAGCAGAACGGGCTCCCAAGGCTCCGGCACCCTAACTGCCAACCAGCAGGAGGGAGGCTGAGTACCAGCTGAATATTATCTGTTCCCATATCAACTGTTGTGCAATAATATGTTTTTAGTCTGCTAAAACCATAGTAGTCGTGGGCATCCGAGCTTATTACGTGTAACCATACAAGGTCTTTGTCACTTTACCTGTTTTGGAAGGAATTTGAAACTTAGTAGTTCTTTCTTGTCACTATGCCATTAATATATATGTTTGATGTTACTTTAGGGCATTAGTGGTTAAAATATTATCCTTTGTTTCTGGTTTAATGATTCATTCTTCAATCTCCTACCGAATTTTAGCACCCTCTGTCAAGGCACCATCTGGTTTGTGGCAGCATGACTCAGTAACTCAGGATGGGATTTCACTGAAGATTTCTGGGATGATTCAAAAAAAAAACAACAACCCAAACCCAACAAAAAAGGAAGTTAGATGAGTGCCAGTGCAAAAGCAGCTGGGTCTGCCATAGCATATAACCTCTGTACCTCAACATATCCAAATGTGAAAAGATTTCTTATTTCTAATAAGTTTTATGCAAGTCTTTTAAAGTTCTGCAAGCTGCACGTGGAGGAACCCAGGCTAGGCTGCCTGCCAGGGAGCTCAGTGGCTCACAGATGTCAGGGGGAGTGTGTCAGGTTTTTTGCTTTCCTCTGTTCACAAAACTTCCAAAAATGTCTCAGTCCATAATTTCAAAACCAAGTCTTTTTGGTAGTCCATGGGGGAGAAAAAAAACAAACCAAGCCCTGATTTTTGCCTCCACCTGTATCCCACTCAAAAGCATGTTGCTGGTTGGGGAGCATTTAGACACTTCTCCCAGAATTGAGAGTCTGCAGCATGTGCTCTGCCAGAGCCACGCACCCTCCAAGGCTTTCTGGTGAAAAACTGCCAGCTTTAGGTGAACAAATGAACTCAAGGTCCATGGCTGGTTTCTTTTGAACTCCTAGTGTGTTTGTATGTGTATATAAACACCAAGTGCCAGGGCTGGGTTCTTGTGTGCTGTAATTGGGTCCCTTTTCAAAGCAGGGCAAGTTGGAGGGAGGGAAGGGAGAAAGGAGATGACAACCCAGTAAATAAATGTTCTTCATTGTGGGGGTTTTTAATTTCCTTTCTGTGCTTCTGAGTTCCAGAGTTCTCTAAACTCACAGGAGCACAGACAGGTGGGGATTAGAGCTGCAAAAGATGTTTGTAAAACCTACTTCAGAATTCTGCTACTGGCAATTAAAGATATTGATCATCTTCTAGGAACTGGTCATGAATTGGCATCATTGAAAGGCAGTGGATAGGTGGTTTTACATCTCTCAGGACACTTGGACACTTTTCTTTAGCATATCTTACCCAGTTTCCCAAGCAGGGTCACGCCGAGTTCTGTGCTGAGTTACCAGTTGTTTGAGTTTGCCTCTGTGCCAAAGCAAATGGACACTGCTAACTGTGAGCCCTGGTTCCAGCTGTGCTGCCTCTGGATTTCCCACACACAGCCCTTGAGCTGGTTGGAAGGCTCCATGGTTGACTGACTTCCCCCTGGTCACTCAGACAGTGTTCCACTGAACAGAGTGAGCCTGGGGCTGGCTCACTTTGTGTCATCACCCCAGCTCTGTGACCTTCTCAAACACAGGTGGTCAGAGCAGGTGCTGCTGTGGGACCTCAGCTCTTTGCACAGCCAGCCAGCCTGGTTCAAAACCAGCAGTGGAACAGAAACACAGGACGTAGGTCACTCCTCAGGTCCTGCAGCCCTGCAGGGCAGAGGATTTAGAATATCTGACATAACAAAGGAGTTTTTTTTTTCTTTTATGACCAGATCTCTTTTTCCTCTGTAAACCAACTTGCTCTTTCTTTACAAAATGCTGCATAGGAAAGAAAAAGAAATGTTTGCCTTTGTCCAAATCTTGTATTTATCAGTGTCATTCTGTCTGTACAATATTTTGACTTAATCTTTTGTTTACAGTATTACTATAAAATGCTAAAAGCCTTTCAGTGTAAGAATCATTTGGGGTTATTTCACTGCTGGGTCTATAAAGATCTTGGAAAAGCTTCCACTAGTTGAGTAAAGCATCCAGCTTTCTAACAACCTTCCTCACAACCCTCTCCCCTCAGGGGCAGGGACAGGATTGAACTGGTCACACCCTCTGGAGCCTGGGGACTGATTCTAAGCCACATTTGCTGACAGTAATATCAAGGAATGTAGTGAAGTCATCACCTGAGACTCCCCTCACATTGTTGCAGTGGTTTTGCTCACGTCAGGAGTCATTCAGGTTGCAATTATTTCTGAAATGAGCCTTCAGCATGTTCTGGAGCAGAGCTGGACAGGCTGGGAGGTGCTGCTGCAGCACCCCTCTCCCTGTGGTTTGCAGTGGGTGCAGGTCCTGCTCCTCGGGGGCAGCACACAGGGTGCACAGCCCCTCGTCCCCTGGACGCAGCACCTGCTGAGCTCCATCCTGCCAGCTCCTGAGCACGGAGAGGGGGAAGCAGCTCAGCCCCCCCCGAGGGTGCTCACGCCCCCTCTGCATTCCCAAAACCAGTAGCCATTTGTTTTTGTGTTCAGCTGGGGCAGAAACAGGCTCAGAAATCTGCCCAGTTGAGTCTCAGCATCATCGTAGGTCATTCCAAAGCCTGTGTTATTTTGGGAGTTCCTTGATTCTTGAAAGTTTTCCTTCTGTCATCTTCAGCTGCCTTTAGCAGTGATTGCACCAAGAATCCTCAGGTCCATGCTGCTTTTGGGTAACCACAGAGCTAATGGGACCAAAAAAAAAAGATCATAACTACATTGTGGGCTCTAGAACTCACCTGCCACACACAGAGGAGGCACTTTGGAGGGGGCAGAGCATCCTCTGAGAACAGGCAGCAACACCTCCTCCCAGATCTCTGCCAGAGGTGGGGGATGCTGCAGAGCAGCTCATAGTTTAAGAAAATTGCAGTCTGGGCACGTGCTTTAGGGGGTTTTTACTCCAATTCAGCAAAGCACAACAGAGGGACTCTGAGCAGCTGAGAGGCACTGCACCGACTGTGCTAGTGCTGAAAAAGAATCAGAACAACATCTGAGGCAGCAGCAGCAAGTCTGCCTCAAAATCATCTAAGAGTTGGGAGGTAAAGCATCAATATCAGCATAAGAAAAGCAATTTATGGAAGAACTCTAGACCTCTGTCTGAAATGGCACCAGGGGAAGGAGCTGGCCCCATGTTCTGCCCTGGTGATGAAGAAGGATGAGAATCCCATGGGTGTGTGGCCAGTACCTACCTGGCTGTGGTAGCCACGCTCAGCCTCCCCCCACACCAGCTCCTTGCCGTGCTGCTGGGCCCATCTCACCTCATCTTCCTCCTCCCACGGGTGCTGCTGCTGCTGCTCCTGGTCCTGCAGGTGCCAGTCTGTCAGCTGGGCACAGAGAGGGGCAGTTCCCGTGGGGCAGGACACGCACTGGGCACCCCCAGCAGCAGGGGCTGAGCTGTACCTGCGCCTCCAGCTGCCCCCTGCGGGCTGGCTGCAGCTCCTCCCCCTGCCCCTTCTCCTGCCTCCTCCGTTCTTTGGCCTTTTCCAGTTCTTTAATCAGCTGCTCTCGATATTTTATAGACTCTTCTCGGGCTCGTCTGTTCGCCTCCATCTCCTCCTGGAGCTGGCACCATCTGCCTGCAAGGACCTTTGTGAAATGAGAAGATCCTGCCTCAGGACTGGGGGAACCTCAGTGCAGGCGGTTAAACAGGCCTCAGAAAATGTGCTGGACAAGCAGAAACTCTCTGCCCTGGGAACTGAGGGCTGTAAACCCCCTGGAGGGTCACAGCTGGCATGATGGACCTCAAAGCACCTCAGAAAGGGTCATCACCTCCTTCATCAGGCGATCCCTGGCTGCCTTCTCTCTCTCCCATTCTTCTTCCCTCTTCTCCCACACTTTTTTAGCTTCGTCTCTGAAGGAGAGAGGAAGAATTATCTCTGAGGTTACTACTTACAATTAAAACCCCCATAGGCACACATGAGCTGCCCTGTGCTTTGAGGAGCACTCAGGCTTCTCTCCAGGCTAGTTCCTGGGCAGCCAGCGTGTCCACCCCACGTGTGCCTGTGTCAGGGAACTGCTCTGATCCCCTGTTACCAACAGCAGGAGGGAACATGCCTGAGGAAGTCCTTGGACATGCCCCAGACACAGGAGAGCCTCGGGAGGGAGCTTTGCCTCCTGACACCTGATGGTGTTGCTGGAAAAGCTGAAGATTTTGCAAATCTTCCCTCTGCAACAACACCTTTAACTAAAAGTTGAGGGCAGCACACACCACCCTGTCACCAGTGGGGATGATCTCTGAGCTGGGGTGATCCTGAACGAGGAACCTGAGGCAGCTTTTATCTACAGGCTCAGAGATACAAAAGGAAACAATATGCAGATTTTGGAGTCGCTGAGGCTGAACCCTCCTCATCAGTAATGAAAAACCACTGAAAATGAAGAACCACTGAAAGCTGGTTACAAAGTACTTACAGCTAGAAGGCAATTCTTGCTGTCTCCACCTTGGTGCTTTTTTGGTTGTTAAAGCTCTTGCAATAGGGTTAAGGTAACAAATGAGGGACTAAATCTTGGGCTGAGGTAGTTGAAAAACAGCCTCAGGTTTTGATTCTGTCCTGGCAGCAAAGCTCCAGGTCTGTCTGTGCTGGCACACTGGCTGGCACACTGGCTGGCACACTGGCTGGCACACAGCAGGAGGGGCAGAGCTCACAGCTACCGCAGCGCTGCGGGAACCGCACGGCCTGAGCTGGCTCCGCTTCCAAAGGCTACTTAACAACCAGGCCTGGAGCTCTGGCAGCCAGGCAGGGACACCCAGCACCCACGGTCTCTGCAGAGGTGGGCAGACTCACCTGAAAATAGTCTGCAGCTCTGCTTCCCTCTCCTTTTCTAACTGGAGCTGCTCCTCGAGGACACGTTTCAGCCAGGCGGCATCCGCGGCCGGTCGCGCAGGCTGCTGGGGCTGCTCCTCTTCCCTCTCCAGGAGGGCTAACAAGATTTGCCTGTCCATCTCCTTGAGAAAAAAACACAAAAAGCAACCACCCACGAGTGGGCAGGGCTGCTCTCTGTGAATTACAGGTGACAGTGTCAAGGGTGAAGACGCTCAATCTGCCACCATGTCTGTCCCCTCTTTGCTCCAGCCCTGTTCACAAGCTGAAGGGGCTCCCCAACTAATAATCTGTAGGCACCAGCAGCAGACACAATGAAACACAAAGGACAAGTTTCCTCCCATATTATCTATAACATATAAATCAAGGGGTGTTTTCTCTTACCAGCTCCTCCTGTACCTGCTGGGCTCTTCTCTTTAACTGGGCGTTACACTGGTGCCTCAAAAAGCGACTGCAGGAGAAAGGAGAACATTCAAACTGACTCCACAGCCTGTGTTACTACACACCAGCACTCGAGAGGACTGCAGCCCACCAGTGCTACCTGAAATACCTCCTCAAGTACTCTCGTGGACATAGAAGCAGGTTCTGCCCCAGCCCTGCTGAAACAAGCTGCACCTGATCTCATACCCAAACTCGCTCTTCTTCCGGTGCTCTTCCATTTGTTTCCTTTCTTCTTCCAAGTTCTCCAGCTCCCACTGCTGCTTTAATAATTTCTCATGTTCTTTTTTCAGCTTTGTTGCCTAAAAGGAAAAAAAAACAATGAAAAAAGAGCATGTTGGAGCCAGGACATCCCTTGTGCCCCATTTTGATCCCCTGCAAGCAGTCTGGATCCTCACAGTGCAAAAACAACATTTTCTTTCCTTTGTGAGACACTGTGAGGAGCTCCAGCTGAAAAAGCCTTTTGACATGACCTGCCACGCTTTAAAGTTTCTAGATCTCTTTTCCTCATCTGGTGCAGCAGAAGAAGCTGCTCATATTTCAAGGGGAGCAAAGAAGAGCTGCTGGAATGAAGTCAATGTGCCTGTGTTCAGGGGAGAGGTTTACATGGCTAAGAGATATTATGTCACAGCTCTGTCCCAGCTTTAATCAAATGGAAACCTGGAGGGAAGAGGTCAGGTCAGTGTTGCTGTGTTTCCACGTGAAGCAATGAATTTCCTTCTCAGATGAGGAGAAGATAAGATTACCTCAGCCTCCTGCAACTTCAGTTCTTTGATTTGCTGAAGCAACACCTCTGCTTGCTGCCTCTCTTCCAGCTGGTGCTTCTCCTCCTCCTGTCTCGTTCTTTCCAGCTCTTCCCTGTGTGCTGTTTCATATTCATTCTCATAATGTTTCCTCTCCTCAAGTTCAGTTGCTTCTTGCTTTCCAAGCCAAAAGAAAAGACAACATTTAAAGCTTAGGCTCATGCAAGTAAACAGCCTCCAGCTCAAGAAATCCACAAACCAGACTCCTGCAGGCTGACACACGTTGGGAAAATATGGAACAAAACACACTAGGGAGGAACAGAAAGCCAAAGCCAAACTCTGTGAAGACTGACACTGCCTGAAAACAGGTCTCAGCCTGGGCAGGACCCTCAGGGGCTGGATGCAGAGCAGAGGTGGCCTCACGAGGACACTCAACATTTCCCTATTGCAGCCTAGATCATTGCTTCAGTGAACTCTGAAATCTGTATTTGAAAGCCTTTATTGCTCTTTAACATCCAAATTGCTGCTTTCTTGTACCTAGTGTGTGTGTGTGTGTGTGTGTGGTTTCCATATCTAGTGTGTGTGTGTTCAGATCCTGAGCTCCTGCAAACAGGCAGCTCCTGTTCCTGACCCATCCGTGGCCATGCAGAAGGTGAGCTCTGTGCCAGCTGGGTCAAAGGGCACACAGCTGGCACAGCTCCACCTGCTCAGCTGTCAGGAGTCTGCCCCAGTGCCCGGTAACCCCAGGGCTGCCCCGGTGTACCTCGGGTTCTTCCATTAGCTGGTGGCCCCAAGCCTCCGTCAGGTGCTTCCTCTGCAGCTCAGGCTCCACCTGCAGGCACAACAGAGGCCGTGGTGCCAGCAGCTCTCCTGTCCCCCAGGCTCTGCTGGGCTCTCCGGAGCACTGCTAGCCCTGCAGTCCCAGCAGGACTCATCTGGGTGCCCTCAGGGCCCACCAGGTCCCAAGCTGAGGGTCAATGTCATGTCCCAGCTGTGGGAAACACTTCAGTGACACTGTGGGCAGGGCTGTGCTGGCTGGAGCAGCAGCTCAGCAGAATAAAGAATAAGGGAGTGCCTGCAGATACAGCCTTAAAAAGCATCTGAGACACTCACCTCATGGGCACTGAAAACCTGCCCTGAGTCAGAACAGATTTCTGACTGCTTTTGAGGGGACTTCTTCCAGTTTGGATGATTTGCTTCTTTGCTTTCTGCTTACCAGAACTTAGGACAGTTGCTCAGATTTGAGATGAACAGTCCATACATGATGATTTTCAACTTAAAAAGTGGTTTAATAAATGCAAAGCAGCAGGGACTAAGAAGGAAGTTACATCACCTCCTGGAGCTCAGCGTTGTTCTTCCTCCAGTGCTCAGAGAGCAGCTGCTCAGCAACCTGGAAACATGAGGGCTGGATTATGTCACAATACAGAAAAATTCCAGATACCAGAGAACTACAGGATCATTTTGGTTGGAAGAGAGCCTAAAGGTCATCGAGTCCAACCCTTCCC